TCCTCCTCCTCCTCCTCCTCCTCCTTTCTTCCTCCCTCCCTCCCCCCTCTCCGTCGTCCGTGCTCCTGGGCCTGCGCGGGTCCCCCACCCTCGCCGCCGCGGCCTTGCGCGGCGCGGAGAGGTGGTCGGAGGAGGGGCCCCCCAGGGCGAGCCCCGCGGGGGCCCCGCGTCTGGGCGAGGGAGGGCTCGGTCCTCAGGAGGCTTAGGTCCGAGGGCGTGACTTCGCCGTCTCTGTCGAAGAGGAACCAGTTGCGTAAGCGTAAGCTCTTGGCGGACGTCAGAAGCTCACGTTGGTGCCGTTTTCTCTTCCTCTGCTTGGGGCCTTCGCTGGGGCCTCCGCGGCCACGGCTGGACGCAGTTCGAGTTGCTGGTCAGGGGGGTGCCCGGGAGGGGTCCGGGGGCCGGTCTGGAGCGATCATGGATCGGGGGGCGGGGCAAGGGGACGGGTCTTCCACGAAGGCACCGCGCCTCTTGGAGGCCCCCCTGCCTCCCAGGAGGCCTGCTCGGGAGCCCTTGCGAAGGGGGCGGTCCCTTCCAGGAAGGGCCCCCCGCCTGCTCCCAGAGGGCCGCCCCCCTGTGGCCGCCCACGGCCAGGCTCCGCTCAGAACGGGCCCCTGGGACCCTCCTGGGGCCCGCAAGGTCGAGATTCCCGAGCCGGGTCCAGCCGCGGCCACGAGAACCTCCACGAGCGCTCGAACACCTCCGAGGATGCCGCCGCCGCCGCCGTCGCCGTCGTCGCCGCCGCCGTCGCCGTCGCCGTCGTCGTCGTCGTCGTCGTCGTCGTCGTCGTCGTCGTCGTCGTCGTCGTCGTCGTCGTCGTCGTCGTCGTCGTCGCCTCTCGCCCCGCCACCCCCCTTGCGCGCCGCCTGCCAGGGTCCGCGTGGGAGGCCGGGCCATGGGCCACAGCGGCTACCTGAGCGTGCCCTCGGCCTCGGGCAGGCGCCCCCGGGGGTGTGCGCGGACGTGCCGTCGGACCGTGCCGTCGTCGCCGCCGTCGCCGCCGGTCCTCGAGGCCCGATGGCCGAGGCTTGGAGGCGTTGTTTGCTTCGTGGGCGAAGAAGAAACAAGCACAGCCGCTGGGCCGCCCCGCGGCGCCCCCCCCCCCCCAATGGCTGACCTCGCCCACCCCGGCGGTGATGACCTGCGCGCAGCATGCGAAGACCTGCGCCGCGCGCAGGTCATCACCGCTGGGGGCTTGGGGTCGTCCCTGGAAGGGCGCCAGAGGGGCGATCTCCTCAGCCCAGCTGCCGTGGTTGTCGTTCCTTCGCTCCTCATGTGTGGCTCTTTCTGGGCCTTCGAAGGCCTCTGGAGGCCTCCTGGAGACCTCTCTGGGGGCCTTCGGAGGTTTTTTGACCGCGCCATAGCACAACCCTGTCATGTCGGCACTGATGCGGTCGGGAACTTAGGGCTTAGCGTGTCGCGCCGCCGGTTCTGGCCCACCGCGCCTCGGCGCGACACGCTACTCACGTACTAGTACCCGAGCATCAACGTCCCAACCTTTTCTCAGCCCCCCGCCCCGCGGAGTGGAGCGACACGCTCTCAGCTTGGAAGGCGTTGCGTGTCGCAGGGGTCGCCGCCGTGACACGCTGAGCAAACGTTCAGGCGGACAGAGTGTTTTATAAGCTCTAACGCCGGCTGGGCCTGCATCCAGAGTTGGCAGCACGAGATGTCATCGGTTCTGCCCCCTTCGAACAACAGAAACACAACAAAGAAAATGATAAGTTCATGGCCCTAGATTCTCTGGTCTGGTCTGTGCGCGCAAGGCTCACAGGTGGCAGGCCCAGAAGAGCTGCCTGGGCGTCTTGCACGAATCGCGGCGGGCGTGGCCGCCCGGGCCTTCGGCCCTGGGGACCCTCGTGGACCGACCCGGTCGAGGTGCCGCATAAGGTGGAAGCCGACACTCGAACGGCAATACGCACACCCCACGTCACGACACTGCACTACGCCGACACCCACATCCAGGACTTCCCTCCTCCCCTCCTCCGTCGCAGATTTTTTATTGTCTCGCTGTTCACATGCATGATCGCGTGTAGTCCATACGTACAGGTTTGAAGAGGCTACGGGCTCCTCCACCAGGTCTCGAGCAGGCCAGGACAGCTGTCCGCAGTGGTGGTTCGTTGGTTCGTTCGTTCGTTCATAAGGTGGAAGCCCATGCCAGGAAACACCCTGCTTGCCTCCAGGGTGCCCTTGGTTTCTCGGGTTTCGATGGTTCTGCCATGGAAAACGTGACGTTCCCACACCAAGCATCGACGGGCGTCCTGGGGGTCTCAGGGTTGGGTTTCTGGTGGAGGTGCTTTTTTAGGGTCGAGCTCCTGCTGTGACTATGGTGCCGCGAGCTTCGGTGCTGGACTTTTCTGTTCACGGCGCGGCCGCTGCTTCTCGGCGTCGGGCCTCGGGGTGCGGCGGTCCTGGCCGTGAGATCCCGGCCGGCGGTCGGCCAGGATCGGGGCGGGTGCCGCAGGGGGCTGTGGGCCGGACGCGGTCGAGCCGCGTCGTTCAAGGCTTCCCACCTGGGGGCCGAGTATCAGAGGAGGAGCAGGTGCCCATACCTACCCCCTGCCTCGTCTTCCCCTGTTTGGGCCTCCTGGGAGGCCCTCGTCGCCACCGCCGGATTCGCCTCGAAATTCTGGTCAGACCGCACCCCGGGAGAGGTCCAGGGAGCAGCGGTATCGGTACCTTCTGATTTCCCCAGTGTAGATGGGGTCGGAGGATCGCGCCGCATCACCAATGCATCGGCGATGTGGCTCGATGCGGAGCCCGATCTTCTCCGCGCGGACGTCGCCGCTGCATCGCTGCTGTCGCCGATGCATCGGCGATGTATCGACCATGCATCGCCGATGTATCGGCGATGCGGCGAGATCCTCGGACCCCGTCTGCTACGACCCCATCTGGGAGGCCTCCGATCATGTGTGGATGGCCAGATGCGTAAGTCCCGCTGGTATGGCGACCACATGTGTCACTACAGGTTTTTTTTCAGAGACCGGCTGCGCTTGGCGCTTCCGAACAAGCGGTTTATTCTCTTGCACAGGGTGTCTAGAGCTCCGACCATTTTATTTCGCGTCGCTCCCCCCCCCTCGCGTCCTCAGCGCCAGAGTGGGGCCCCCGCGCCGTGGCTCTCTGCCCCAAGCCCCCCCGCGTCCCCAGCGCCCCAGCGGGGGCCCCGCCCACTGCCCCCTCCGCCACGAACGCTTTATCCCGCGTCGCCCCCCCCCGCCCCCCCGCGTCCCCAGCGCCAGTGTGAGGCCCCCGCGCCGTGGCTTTCTGCCCCGAGCCCACCGCGTCCCCAGCGCCCCAGCGGGGGCCCCGCCCACTGCCCCCTCCGCCACGAACGGTTTCTCCCGCGTCGCAGCTCCCCCCCCTCCCCCGCGTCTCCAGCGCCAGTGTGGGACCCCTGCGCCGTGGCTCTCTGCCCCAAGCCCCACTGCGTCCCCAGCGCCCCAGCGGGGCCCCCGCCCACTGCCCCCTCCGACACGAACGCTGTATTACACGTCGCACCCCCCCCCTCCGCGTCCCCAGCGCCAGAGTGGGACCCCCGCGCCGTGGTTCTCTGCCCCGAGCCCCCCCCGCGTCCCCAGCGCCCAAGCGAGGGCCCCGCCCACTGCCCCTTCCGCCACTAACGCTTCATCCCGCGTCGCGCCGCACACCACCTCCCCCACCTCCCTCCCCGCGTCCCCAGCGCCCCAGTGGGGACTCCGCCCCGTGCCCCCTCCGCCCCGACAATTTTACTCCGCGTCGCGACGCACGCCACCTCCCCCCCTTCCCCCCCTTTCCCCAGCGCCCCAGTTGGACCCCCGCCCCGTGGCCCTCTGCCCCAAGCCCCGCCCAGTGCCCCCTCCGCCCCGACAGTTTATTCCGCGTCGCGGCACACACCACCCCCCCTCCTCTCCGCGCCCCCAGCGCCCCAGTGGGACCTCCGCCCCGTGCTCCCTCCGCTCCGACCACTTTATGCCGCGTCGCGGCGCGCGCCGCCTCCCCCACCCTCCCCACCTGGGACTTGGGCCCCGTTGCTGGGCCCAGAGGGCGATGCCTTGCCCCCTCTTCCCCCCTCCTCCTCCTCCTCCACCTCCACCTCCTCCTCCTCCTCCTCCTCCTCCTCCTCCTCCTCCTCCTCCCCCTTCCTTTTTGTGCAAGGGCTATGGCACACGTGCCACTTGTTTCCCGCGGGCGCTCCCGCGGGGCCGCGCTGTCGCAGCATGCGCGCCCGCAGTTCAGAGCGCTGGCGCGCATGCCGCGACAGCAGTACGTTTGGTTTGAAACTGTCATGGATTAGGCACACTTGACGCAAAAGCGTTGTTTGTCTGTTGAATCAACATTTTGTTTTTGACTCGAATACTTGTTTTTTGGGCAATGCCAGTTTGTCTGAGAAAAAGTCGCTGGTGTATATTGAGCCTGTACCCGTCGCTGGCGCGAGCTGCCGCACTTATTTTCTCTTCTTTTTATAGGTAGGTCTTTTTTTTTTTTATTTACAGATTGGGCGATGCAAGCAGGAAGGAGGAGGAGAGGATGAGGAGGAGGAGGAGAGGAGGAGAGGAGGAGGAGGAGGAGGAGGAGGAGGAAGGAGGAGGAGGAGGAGGAGGAGGAGGAGGAGGAGGAGGAGAGGAGGAGGAGGAGCAGGGGGGAGGAGGAGGAGGAGCAGGGGGCTCTGGGTTGCACCCCTGTTTTAGATTGAAAAAAAAACGTTGGACTGACATTAGGTGAGATGCCTGTTTCGATCTTCCTCCTTCTCCTCCTCCTCCTCTCCTTCTCCTCCTCCTCCTCCTCCTCCTCCTCCTCCTCCTTTTGCTCCCGTGGTGCTGCTCAGCCTTGCGCGCGCCGTCCCGCCCAGACTGAGGAGGGAATTCGGACAGCCCTCTCTTGGGGGCCTCCCTGGGCCTCTTGGGGGCCTTCTGGGGCTTCTTGGGAGGCCTCTTTGGCCGGCCTACGGCGCTCCGGGCCCGTCTGATGCCGTCGGCAGCCGTCTCGGATGCCTCTGTGAACCGACTTTGGGGCCCTGCTGGGGCGCTTCAGGGCCGTCTTGGAGGCCATCTCGGACGTCTCTTGGGCCGTCTTGGGGCCCTCTTGGAGCCGTCTTGGAGGCTTCTTGTGCCGTCACGGGGTCATCTTGGAGGTCGTTGGGGATCTTGGGGCGATTTGGGGGACCCCTGGGGCCGTCTTGGGCCGTCGGAAGGCCGAATAGAAGCAACAGCAGCCCAAATTTTTCAAACACCTAAGGAACATGCGTGATTTTGGCCTCTTCGGGCCTTCCTGGACCCCTTGGAGGCAGTTGGGGCCTCTTGGGCGCTTCTGGGGTCGTCTTGGGCTATCTTGGACCATCTTGGTGGTATTGGAGGCACCCTGGGACCCACTTGGAGGCCATCTTGGGGCTACCTTGGCTGTCTTGGAGGCATCTTGGACGTCTTGGATGCTATCATGAGACTATCGTGAGCGAAACCAGCCGACGAGACACGTACCCTGGTGCAATGGACGGAGTGGACCGGCGCTCCAGGGGGCAGGGGATCTAAGACGCCTACGGCGAATCACCGCGGCCCCCTGCCCCTTTGGAAGCGCCTCTGTGGCCGACAGCTGGGCCAGAGCTATCGGGTCAGTTGTTCCCCGAGTCGGTTTGGGAAGACTTCAGGGAACGCATGGGGGAGCAAGAAGAGGATGAGGGGGAGGATGGGGAGGAGGAGGAGGAGGAGGAGGAGGAGGAGGAGGAGGAGGAGGAAGAGAAGGAGGAGGAGGAGGAGGAGGAGGAGGCGGAGGAGGAGGAGGAGGAGGAGGAGGAGGAGGAGGAGGAGGAGGCCTCTTGGGCGCCTCTTGGGGCACTCCTGGGGCCTCCTGGGAGCTTCCTGGGGGCCTCTTGGAGGATTTTGAGGGGCCTTCGGGGCTTCTTGGGGGCCTCTTTGGCCGTCTTAGGGTGTTCCTGGCTTGTCGGACGCCGTCGGATGCCGTCTTAGGGGCCTGTCTGGGTCGTCTTGGGGCCCTCTTGGGGCATATCAGGGGTTCTTAGAGGCCATCTTGGGCGTCTTGGAGACCTCTTGGGCCGATTTGGGGCCCTTTTGGGGCCGTCTTGGGAGCCTTTAGGGTCGTCGTGGGGCCATCTCGGAGGCCTCTTGGGCGATCTTGGAGGCCTCTTGCGCCGTCTTGGGCCGTCGGAATGCCGAGAAGAAGCAAACCCCAAAATCTTTCAAAAAACTCAGGCAAATCAATGATTTTTGCCTCTTTGTGCCCTCCTGGAAGACCTCCTGGACGCCTTCTGGGCCGTCTTGGAGGCCTCTTGGGCCGTCTTGGGCCGTCTTGGGCCATCTTGAGGCCATCTTAGGCCGTCTTTGGTGCATCTTGGGCCGTCTTGGAGGAATCTTGGGGCCATCTTAGCCGTCTTGGAGGCCATTTTGGCCGTCTTGGAGGTCTCTTGGGCCCTCTTGGGGCCGTCTTGGGGGCCTCTTGGGCCGTCATGGGGCCATCTTGGAGGCCTCGTGGGCGATCTTGGGGGCCTCTTGGGCCGTCTTGGGCTGTCAGAATGCAGAAAAGAAGCAAATGCCCCCCCCCCCCCCCCCCCCCCCCCCCCCCTAAAAAAAATACCTCAGGAAAACCACGGATTTTGACCTCTTCGGGCCCTCCTGTGGAAGACCTCTTGGAGGCCTCTTGGGCCGTCTTGGAGGCCTCTTGGGGGCCTCTCGGGCCGTCGTGGGCCATCTTGAGGCCTCCTTTTTGACCTCTTCGGGCCCTCCTGTGGAAGACCTCTTGGAGGCCTCTTGGGCCGTCTTGGAGGCCTCTTGGGGGCCTCTCGGGCCGTCGTGGGCCATCTTGAGGCCATCTTAGGCCGTCTTGGGTGCATCTTGGGCCGTCTTGGAGGCATATCTTGGCCATCTTAGCCGTCTTCGAGGCCATCTTGGGCGTCTTGGAGGCCTCTCGGGCGGTCTTGGGGCCCTCTTGGGAGCATCTTGGGAGCCTCTTGGGCGGTCATGGGCCATCTTGGAGGCCTCGTGGGCGATCTTGGGGCGATCTTGGGGGCCTCTTGGGCCGTCTTGCGCCGTCGGAATGCCGAGACGAAGCAAATGCCAAAATCCTTCAAACACCAGGGGAAAAAATCAATGATTTTGGTGTCTTCGGGCCCTCCTTGAGGACCTCTTGGAGGCCTCTTGGGCCGTCTTGGAGGCCTCTTGGAGGCCAGGCGTCTTGAGGCCATCTTAGCCGTCTTGGAGGCCAACTTGGCCGTCTTGGAGGCATCTTGGAGGCCATCCTGGGCCATCTTGAGCGAAAACGCAGACGAGGCAGGCAGCCAGCGGGACCGGCCGAAGCCCCAGGGGGAGTTCCAAAACCAACACCGATAGGATTCGGCACGCCAGGCACCCCTGCGATGAATCGACAGGGGGCGGCGGATCGAAGACGCCTACGGCGAATCACTGCCGCCCCCTGCCTTTTTGGAAGCGCCTATGTGGCCGAACGTTGAGGCCAGACCCGCCAAGCTATCGGACCATGTGTTCCCCGAATCGGTTTGGAAAACCTTCGGGGAACACGTGGGCATCTCGAAGGTCATTTTGGCCGTCTGGAGGATTTTTTTTTTTTTTTTTTTTTTTTGGAGGACGTTTTCTTGGAGACCTCTTGGGCCGTCTTGGGGGCCTCTTGGGGCCGTGTCTTGAGCCTCTTGGGCGATCTTTGGGGGCTTTTGGGCCGTCTCGGGCCGTCGGAGGGCCTAACAGAAGCAAATGCCACAATCCTTCAAAAACCCATGGAAAATTAATGATTTTGGCCTTTTCGGGCCTTCCTGGAGGCCATCTTGGAGGCCTCTTGGGCCGTCTTGGGCCATCTTAGGGCCATGTTCGGCCGTCTTGGTGAGCTCCTGGTCCGTCTGA